CTCGATTCAGGGTCTGTTTACCACTATAAACGTGCACACACAGATGCGTGTCATTCAGTAGTTTGAGCGTTGAGTCGTCTACTTACTGCTTCTTCAGACACGTCATTGGACACACGTTATTCGCCTTGAAGTTGTGAATCACTGATTTCAGGCCTTCCATCCATTTCTGCACAAAAACAAGCAATCATACACGAGGAGAGGTAAACACATGTTTTGTAGTAGTTTACGATCAACGGTCAGATTGAGAGTCATATTTTAATCATACAGGAGACGCTTTGAATGATTCACGTCTGAAGAAGCTCACGAATCAGGGACAACTCTGACTATTAGATCAGCTACATTAACTAACTTAAACACATGACGTGTCTGTAAATCTGTTAAGTTTTCAAACCTCAAACAACAAACATAAAATGAAGCAGCTCATTTAAGACTCAGTTTGAGCTTGTTAGATGTGGATGAACAACAAACGACTCGTTTCACTCTGATTCAGTCACACAACAGAATATTACTGAATATGACAGAACATTCAGAACAGTTAAAGTTGGTTGGCGATTCATGTGGTTTAATGAGAAACTCCTGAGGTTTGCAGTACTGATCTCTGCTGCTGCTCCATCAGCCGGTTTACACGTGTGCCGCACTGACCGGTCAAACGCGTCGCCGTGGTAATGCTCACCTTGGCCGTATCCGTGTTGTCCGTCACCATGTACATGAAGCTGAGGTTGACCAGGTCCGGCCCGCTGCAGACGCAGATGATGCGACCGTCCAGATCCGCCTCGCTCTTCCCCGCCGCTTCCAGAGACGCCAGGATCTTCGGGTCCTTCAGGAACAAAAACACACGACACGCAAACATCAACTCAACACGTTAGTACCGGTTCACTTCATGCAGAAACATGGGATGACTTACAATAACCTTTATAACAGATCAACACGGTAAACTATGAGATGGACTGTTTGCGTGTTTATATTCCCAGACCGTCACGCTTGTGTCCGATTCATTTAAAGCCATAGTTCAGCCAAAAATGAAAATTCTGTCATCATTTATTCAAGTTTATTTGTACAGCGCTTTTCACCATACAAATAGTTGCAAAGAAGCTTTACAGAAAATTATGTTTCTACAATATTTAGTGGTAGTTTATCAGTGGTGACTGTCAGTTAATGCACATATGGCAGAAATGTACGGAAAAATCAATTAAAGACGCAATCAAACAGACGATGAGCACTATTAACAGCAATTATTATATCTTGCAATCAAACTTATAGCAGAATGTGGTAGTTCTGTCTGTTGTTTCAGGGCTGGTCAAGTTGTTATAAACCTGTATGTGTTTCTTTCTTCTGCTGAACACAAAGATATTTTGAAGAAAGCCATTGACTTCGATAGTATGGAGAAAATATAATGGAAGTCAATGGGGACCACAAACTGTTTGGTACATTCTTCAAAATATCTTCTTTAAATATGAAAGAAACTCATACAGGTTTGGAACAACTTGCTTTAATGATGTTTAAGGAACATCAGCTCATGATGAACGATTCAACCCTGAACTGATCAGAGATTCAGCAGCGGAATAATTCAACTGAATAAAAACGACCCATATTTTCACACGTCATTGGACAAAGTAGTTAACAAACATCCATCTGAATGTCTGTTTTTGTGCCAGCAGCACTGTGCTCACGGCTCGATTCCCAGAGAAACATATGAAGCGATAAACTGATCAGAGTAAACGTGTCTGCAGACGTGGCTGAACACACATCACCTCCTGCTTAACAAACAGCTGAAGCGGGTTACCATCAGGTCCTGTAAACATGAGCCGCCTCCACAAACAGGTTCCTGCTGTGAACACCTGACCGCAGGAGACAAACACTGCAGCCACACACGCCAGTCAATATTTGACAAAAACACTGAATGTGAAAGATAATCTCTGACTGTCAATAACACTCGAGAGCAGAAGCAAACGGTAACGCCTCGACGGCTCTCTGTCCATCATCACGTGTCACGCGTCTGATGCACCTGCAGACAGAACGACTCCAAACCGTCTGAACGGTTTAATGCCTCATCTTCATCACAGTAGCTGTAACGCTGACTAACAGTAACCTAACTAAACTCTTCAGCATGTGAGACTCTGTCAGCAGTGATCGATTCAAGTGTTTGTTTGGACGATTCATTTCAGTTCAATCAGGAGCATCTTTACCTTCGGCACGACTCCGGGACGGACGCTGTTGATCAGAGAGCTTTCTAGAAGCTGACCTTCCTGCGAGAGAGACAAATACTGCGATTAGGACAGTTCAAAGCAGAATCACAGCTCATGATCGCTGAATGATTAGCCTTATTTCATTCAATCATCAAACGTTCAACTGAATAAGAATTTCACACGGTTATAATTTAAGTTTTCAAACACATGCTATGATGACAGTGAAGGGAAGATCAGAGCCGTGACGCTGAGATGTGTGTGATGTGCGTCTGCATCGGCTGCATCCATGAAAATAAATCACACCTTTCCGTCACTTTTCCACGTGAGAAAGAAGCCAAACTCGTCGACTTTGAAATGGCAGCTGGGCTCAAAGACGAAGGGATCCTGAAAAACACAGCGGAGGATGAGCGGCGTTACTGACGACAGACACACCGTTAAAACGGGAACATTTCCCTGAGAATGCAGTCATTACAGTGTTTAATCAATACGTCTGATTGGTCCGTCTCACCGACACACACTGACCGACATCACCTGCTCTTACTGCAGAATCAGGCCTCATGTGTGTCTGAAGAAGGAGAGACGGAGACTAGTGTTTACTAAAACTGATTTTCTTACAGAGTCTTACAGTCTGGAGTCGACAGCAGCTGCTGAAAGTCAGTCTGCAGATTCAGAAAAAATAATGTAGCATATTCCAGGTAACAAAATTAGGTCATAAAAATGTTATGGGAACATTGCTTTGAAATGTTTCTAAAAAGTTTTCTTGTCGAGATTATTTAAAGGTTACAAAAATATTTCCTGCAACGTTTACTAACTTTATTTTCACCCATATTTTAGAAGCTTGAGCATTTAAAGCGGCAGATGGCAAAACTCGATTATAAAAAACAGTTCTCGTTATAGTCACTGCAGTTATGGTTCATCTGGAGTATGACCGCTGGTTTTAATCTGTAACCATTTACTGTGATGCAGTAAAACCTGTTCAGATTTTAAAGTCAAGTTTATGTCAATATTTTGGCTTTCAGAATCACGATTCATCCATACAGTTAATTGACTCCTGATTCCTGACGCCACAGAATCGACTCTGATTGAGCAAAAACACATGAATGCGTCGTTCCCGAGTTTGGCAGTAAAAATCTTGAAGTCCACATAAAAGCGTCGTGATGCAAGCGAACACCCGCGGGCTCAGCTAATGAGTTCACTGTGAATGCCCTCCAACAATCGGACGGAGCCAAGATGGCCGCCGGCAGCACAGTTTCACCGTCTGTTGCTCTGTAGGATCTGGCTGAATGTGAGAGAGAGAGTGTATGTGTGTGAGTGAGTGAGAGAGAGTGTTTGTGTGTGTGTGAGAGAGAGTGTTTGTGTGTGTGTGTGTGAGAGAGAGCGAGTGTGTGTGTGAGAGAGCGAGAGCGAGTGTGTGTGAGAGAGAGCGAGAGCGAGTGTGTGTGAGAGAGAGCGAGAGCGAGTGTGTGTGAGAGAGAGCGAGAGCGAGTGTGTGTGAGAGAGAGCGAGAGCGAGTGTGTGTGAGAGAGAGCGAGAGCGAGTGTGTGTGAGAGAGAGCGAGAGCGAGTGTGTGTGAGAGAGAGCGAGAGCGAGTGTGTGTGAGAGAGAGCGAGAGCGAGTGTGTGTGAGAGAGAGCGAGAGCGAGTGTGTGTGAGAGAGAGCGAGAGCGAGTGTGTGTGAGAGAGAGCGAGAGCGAGTGTGTGTGTGAGAGAGAGCGAGTGTGTGTGTGAGAGAGAGCGAGTGTGTGTGTGTGTGAGTGAGTGCGAGTGTGTGTGTGTGTGTGTGAGTGTGTGTGTGAGTGAGTGCGAGTGCGTGTGTGTGTGTGTGAGAGAGAGTGTGTGTGAGTGCGAGTGTGTGAGAGAGAGAGAGCGAGTGTGTGTGTGTGTGAGTGTGTGAGAGAGAGTGAGAGAGAGAGCGAGAGAGAGAGTGTGTGTGTGTGTGTGTCTGTGTGCGTCTCTGTGTGTGTGTGTGTGTGTGTGTGTTAGAGAGAGTGTGTTTGTGTATGTGAGAGAGTGTTTGTGTGTGTGTGTGTGAGAGAGAGTGTGTTTGTGTGTGTGTGCGTGTGTGTGAGAGAGAGTGTTTGTGTGTGTGAGTGTGTGTGAGTGCGATTGTGTGTGTGTGAGAGAGAGAGTGAGAGAGAGAGCGAGAGAGAGAGTGTGTGTGTGTGTGTGTGTGTGTGTGTGTCTGTGTGCGTCTCTGTGTGTGTGTGTGTGTGTGTGTGTGTGTGTGTGTGTATCTATCCTCAGAGAGAGTGTGTGTGTGTGTGTGTCTGTGTGCGTCTCTGTGTGTGTGTGTGTGTGTGTGTGTTTACCTCATCGAATCGGTCAAATACAGCTCCTTCCTGCAGGAAGTCAGGAATGTGTTTCTGACAGTTGAACTGGTATGATTTGGTCATGACTGCTCACAGACCTGAAACACACACACACACACACACACACACACACACACACACATGATGGAAACACAACCACATCTCTGTCTTTACAGATATTCAGACTTTTCAAAAGAATAAATTAATAATTCTCTAGTGATATGAACACATGTAGCAGCGGACAGCAGCTTCCTGCCAGACACTGAATGTTATAAATAAACCACTGATATGCCATGGATTATAAATATTCAATCAGCTCATTAATATTCACGAGATGTGCTGTATATTCAAACACATTAAACAGAAGCAGTTACAGCATGACGGTACGTTTGGAAATCATGATCATGACGTGATGTACGTCAAATTGTGATTACGATGTGATTACAGCAGAGGATGATGGGAAATATTAAGCACAGCACAGCCGTAATTCATAAACTGGTCACAGCTCCTTCCTGCAGGAAGTCAGGAATGTGTTTCTGCCAGTTGAACTGGTATGATTTGGTCATGACTGCTCACAGACCTGAAACACACACACACACACACATGATGGAAACACAACCACATCTCTGTCTTTACAGATATTCAGACTTTTCAAAAGAATAAATTAATAATTCTCTAGTGACATGAACACATGTAGCAGCGGACAGCAGCTTCCTGCCAGACACTGAATGTTATAAATAAACCACTGATATGCCATGGATTATAAATATTCAATCAGCTCATTAATATTCACGAGATGTGCTGCATATTCAAACACATTAAACAGAAGCAGTTACAGCATGACGGTACGTTTGGAAATCATGATCATGACGTGATGTACGTCAAATTGTGATTACGATGTGATTACAGCAGAGGATGATGGGAAATATTAAGCACAGCACAGCCGTAATTCATAAACTGGTTAAATAAATCACATTTACTGGTGAGATTCATCACTGCTCCTCATCAAAACGAACTGAAGAGTTTCAAACTAATGACATGTTCTGCACTGATATTCATCTCACAGTCAAATAATGCAGTGAATAGTTGAACATCTCTAACTACTACTGACTACTAGTCAGGAACCCAAACTATTCTGGTTAAAGTTGATGCGGTCACCGATCAGCCGTGAAGCGCAGCACGTTCTAACACGTGAGTTAGTGGAGCAGCTGATCCGGAGATAATTATCCATCCCTGAAAGGCAGCGCAATCCCCTGTTACCACCGGTTTAAAACGGCAGCGAGGGTAATTACCCAAAGGCCCCTGCTTCACAAGCAAATTAATGAGTGACGCAGCCACGATGCAGAGGACATGCGGCGCAGGAGCTGCGGAAAACCTGGAAGATGATGACAGCTGTCAATCAAACACATCAAAGTTCAGATTATATCAGCTCCAACTTCAATCTAACTCATCATGTGTCTTTGTGTGTGTGAGTGTGTGAGTGAGTGCGTGCCTGTGTGTGTGTGTGTGTGAGAGAGAGAGAGAGAGAGAGAG